CTGTACATATTTTTTAGAAGTCTCTAATGCTCACCAAGGCTGCATTTATTTGACGAAAAATACAGTAAAACTGTAATATTGTGGAATATTATTACAAACTAAAAAAAATTCTTTTTTATTTTGATATATTTTAATATGTAATTAATTTTAACGTGTTACATGATCCTTCAGAAATCATTCTAATATGCTGATTTGGTGCTCAAGAAACATTATCAGTGGTGAAAACAGTTGTGCTGCTTAATATTTTTTGGAAATCATGACATTTTTCAGGATTCTTTGATGAACTAAGAGTTAAGAAATGTCTTTTTCGCATTTTTTATCAATTTAATGTGTCCTTGTGGAATAAAATAATTAATTTCTTTTAAAAAATCATACTGACTCCAAACTTATATATATTATAATTTTTTTCATACTTTTTTGCTGTTATGAAATGTTTATTTGCTAATTATTTTTCTGAAATTATTTGTTGCATCATTTTACTCGGCAGAATGTCAACCCCCATGTGATGTGTCCTTTGCTTTCATAGTTTGTGTTCGTTCTCATGAATTCACCCTTCCATGACACTATCTACTTATGTGGAGGTCACAGCATGATGCTCATATTAAGCCCCGATGTGAGCTGTGAAAGGGACTTAGGAACATTCTAGCTGTCTTTACCGTGGAACCAGGGTGCGATGGTATTGCTACTTCGCTCATATCCCGCTCGTCTTGGTCTCTGCTCATCTTTAAACCAGTGGATAATGGACTCACGAGAGTTCGGTCTAGGTGGACGAATCCAAACTGGGCTGAAAGGCAATGGAAGACAATATTGTGATAGTTAGCATGCAAATTTATCATTATTTGTTTCACTTTATTCTGCCATTGCAGACCAGAGTGTCATTTACTCTAATTAACTTTAACTTATTTAACTTCTTGTTGCATAAAACAATATCACACTCGCAAAAAAATAAATGGGTTATGGTCGAGATAATTTATTATTGATTTTACCATTCTGTGAGTGACTGTGTGACTGGACTGTTGTAACGTCGGTGTTGTCTGCTCCTGTAATGACCTGAGGTAAGTTGACCAGAACTAGCTGCAGGTGAATGGGTGGCCTCAGCTGGAGGGGTTAAATGTTCAGTGACCGATCCGTTCAGGTGTATCTTATGGAACAGGCCGCTGAGTCCAGCCACCAGGCCCTTCTCGATGCCCCGCAGAGACTGGCGCTTATATTCATCTCTAGCCCATCGTGCCTTGCACTTCATCTCCTCATCCGCCACCTTGGAGCGTCGCACTGTGGGAAGCGGAGAGGAATTTGAATAGAAATAAGCTACTTTGTTTTAGAGCAGCCAAACTACCCATTTTCTTTCCCATTCTGTTTGTTCTCTCACATTGTTCCTGCCATTCTTTGTCATATCTCTCGCTTCTCTTTTCCTCCTGCTTCAGAGAGATGTACAGCTCCTTTGCTCTCCTCTCCTCTGTTTGGCGGATTTCTTCCTCGCCTTGCTGTCTCTCATCCTCCTCACATTGCTGTGAATAAAGGAGAAAGAATCAGTCCTTGCTAACACAAAGGCACAGAAGTTTCACCCCAGCTTGCTTTAGTTTTTTTTTCATTTTCTGTGTCATTAAGCTGCGAATATAAATTATTAATTTGGTGGACAATGTCATTAACCCAAACATCAGTGCTTTCAACTCTATTATAGATCAGGCATTCCAATGTTGGCCTTGGGTCTCAGAGATCACTATCTACATTCTGAGAGGTTGCCAACTTTTAAATAATTCATTCTCAGAACATGGAACACATAGTAATTAAGCTTAATTGACCTCAATCTCTATTATGAGACTATGATTAAAGACCTTGTTGAAGAATAAATGCAAGGACCCTTAACTATTGGATCTTTTGAGCCGCTGAGATCACAATTGTTATGCTATTTTTTAGGGGGTTATACATTTATTATAAAGGGTGCTTTAAAAGTAGCCACAATTAGTAGCAGTCACCCATGAAAAAAATTTATTAGTGATTCTTAGTATGTGTACATGTTAATCTAATGAGACCAACCAGTGTTATTTTAGTAGATTTGAGATAGTTATCCTTTTTATTAATTTGCAAATTAGTTTTTATTTTTATTTATCTGTGTTTTAATTTTAGATAAAGTTTTAGTAATTATGTTGTGTGTTTTTGTAATTTTTATTAGAATTTTTTAATTTGTTAAATTGTTAATGTAAATGTTAATTGTTAATGTTAATGTAAAAAAATATTGTTAATGTTTTTAAAATAAATTTTTATTTTAGTTTAGGTTTTAGATATTTTAGTACATCAAGTTAAACTAAACAAAAATAAGAAATGTTGTTTGGCAACTAGCTGAAATAAAATGAGTTCAAAGATTTTTATATTTTATTTTATTATATTTTATTTCAGTTAATGTTTATTTTATTTCAAGTACAAATTTGCTTTATGGTTTTAGTTGTAGTGTATGCACTCAAATTTATTGTTGTTGTTTTACTTATGCTGCACCGGCCAGTTAGGCAGATTTTATAATGGATGAGTGGATTCAGCCTCAAGCAAAGGTTTTTAGAAATGTGAGTACACAAAATAATTTTTCAACATTTTTCAAAAGAACTATTCATGTCTTTATTTGTTAAACTTTTTAATGAGGACAAGTACTTCAAAATCCACTAGGCTTTAATATCTGAGGGGACACGAGGCATGATGCTGTATTTGATGTTTTGTTTAGAACTGTGTCACCATTTCAAAAGATGCATAAAATATTCTGTGTTTTTGTCATATACTCAAAAGAACATACTCCAGCCAGTCCCACCTTCAGTTCCTCTCTAATGCGATCTTCCTCTTCTTCATGCTTGGCTGCCTTTCTGTCATCTGTCTCCTCCTTCCATTTTTCTGCCATGAACCGAGCCTTTTCCTTCGCCATGGCATCTCGAAACTTCTTTTCAATCTCTGCCTCCTTCACACGCCTCAGGAAATTCAGCAGGGGTTGAGTGATGCACTTTCTATCTCCCTATACTTCTATCATCATTACCCTGACACCCCCCTCCTCCCCAACCCTCTCAATTTTTAACTGAATCACATCTGTAAATCTTCACCCACCCCTAGTGTCCCACTGCTCCCATCCCTTGACCCTGTCCCATGGTTCTCTCACCGGAGTTCCTGTGCCTCTTGCTGGGCCTGCTTCCTGGCTCTCTCCTCCATCAGTTCTACCACAATGTCTTCAAAGAGCTTGTCCCCCGGGGCCTCCCCCATTACCCATACCCACACCTCTCCATCTGAGCCCAGAAGCCACTGAATGCCTCTGCGGTTGCCTGGGAAGAGACAGCAAACAGCAAATATGAAAAAACATCTTTCTATCCCCACTTTCCAGACCCATCAGACCGTATTCAGATAAGATAAAGACAAAATAAGACAGACGGCGTGACAAAGCTGGAAGAGATTATCCTACTGGGATCCTTTGTACACTGCGGTAACATGACAACTGAACAAGATAATGTAAGAACTTTTGAAAACAAGGGGACATTACCTGTCAGCACACAATCAGTGACGCAATTTAATGCAGGAAGATTACGCTTGCAATATGATGTAAACCTAATCTTGCTCATTTGCACCACTGCCTTAAAGTTGAAGTGTGATGTTTTATAGATATACTTTCTGAAATACTTTCTCCTATCCCCCTTATTATGCAGAGACAGCTATACACCATTCGTAGACTGATTTACCCAAAAAGTTTTACCACTGTGGCGCTTTCAGCACAATGCTCTCTTTCAGCATATGAGCCAGCCCTATGCAGCAACATTGATTCCGTGGAGTTTGAGGTGGAACTGCTTGTCAAACCAAGGGAAGATGGGTACGTTTTCAAACCTGTTTTAAAACAATCATTATTCCTGCACTTTTCATTTGGTGATGCTAATGGAACAAAATTACACACTTTAACCTCACAACACACTCTATGAAGAAATTGTTTTCTATTTCATAGAAAAAAATATTTCTTAATGACTTAATAACTACTTTAAAGGGCAAAATAAAATGAACTATAAATTACTATAAATACTTACAATATTTCTCATGATGATCAAAATAAATTAATACTTTTATTCAGCAAGGATGCATTAAACTGGTCTAAAGTGACAGAAACCAAATATTTATGTTTCAGATAAATGCTGTTCTTTTGAACTTTCTATTCATCAAAGAATACTGAAAAAATTTATCACGGTCCCCCCAAAAATATTGAACAGCACAAATGTTTTTAGAATTGCTAATAATACGAAATACTTCTTGAGCACCAAATCAGCATATTAAAATGATTTCTGAAGGATCATGTGACACTGAAGAGTAATGGCTGATGGAAATTCAGCTTTGCCATCACAAGATAAATTACATTTGATAAAATATGAAAATATAAAACAGTATTATTTTTAGTAGTAGTAAACTATTTTTGATCAAATAAATGCAGCCTTGGTGGACTGACCCCAAACTTTTGAATGGCAGTGTATACTGTATGTGCAAAGAATTACAGTAACAGACATAATATTATAAGAAAAAATTTATGTGTAATCATGCATTGCGTAATAAATTCAAAGTGTGGTTTGAAAACTGTGCTTGAGCTATCTTTCTTTAATAAATGCCACTTGGTTTGCTAATTTGTTATTTAATGCAAAGACATTCATAGATTTTTATAAGTGGCTTAAATGTCAAAATACTTCTTGTAACCACTTTATTAAAAACACTAATGTTTCATTTGTATAACTCCTCAAATAAAGGTACAAAATGAACCCTGGACTCACTCTTTTTTTTCAAAGCATGGCTGGGGTTTCTTCTCTCCCTCTCGTTCCAGTGCCGCACCTGCTCCTCCCGAATCTTATAGAAGAGGATCTGTTTCTGCTCTTCGTTGAGTTCAGACAACAGCTCAGGCTCTATATACATATCCTGAAGAATCTGCTGCATCATCCTGACAGCCTGCCAGGTATATGTCTCTCTCGACTCCTTTGACCTTTGTCTGTAGTCACTGCAGACTGCAAGCTCAAGTGTGTCTGTCTCTCAGGATCAATCTTCACTGGCTGAGAAAGGCTCAAGGTGTGTCCAGTGTAATGCACAACTGATTTGAAGCTCTTTTAGAGGGTGTCATAACAACTGTGAGCCCTCTCCTTCCTTTCACCCTCTATTTTATATACCTCTCTGTTCAACAAGTGTTGATCACAACTGCATCCCTTCCTTTAATCTTGACCCAAGTAGGGTCACTTTCTCTCCACTTCTCGCATGCTGCAATGGTGTTTTGTTCTTGCGTTTAGATCCTTAATGGGGTTTAATTTCACCCTCTCCCCCCCTCTATCTGTCTCCTGCAGTGACCCTACAAACCAGGTGTGTCTGACACTGCTACCTGTGTGTGAAAGCTCGAAATGTTTTTCTTTGCAGGTTAAAATGTCTATGGATATAATTTTTGATGAATTGACTTGTATAGTTTTCTCTAGGCTACTTCATATGTCACAACAATTAACCTAAAATGTCAGATTGATATCAACAATATGCAAGCAATTACTCAATTAGCAATTAATCTCATACTATTACGAAAGAAGAATTTATATGTAATTATGGATGCAACATGAATATTTGAAATGAGTTGGTATATACAGCATGTTTGTGTGAGTATGGGCATGTTATCTGATATGTCCCTTTCTCCCTATCTTTTCATGGTGTAATCTTACATCTGCGACTCATATTACCATAGCTCTGCACAGATGGTGTTAACCCACCCACACCCCCCTCTTTTAACCCTGGACACCAGGTAGTCCTTGAGAAGGAAATAATGGCCTTAAAGGGACTTTGGTTTGCTGTACAGTTATTGGTTTGAAGCATAATTTATGATGTCTCATTTTCTAGTTTTTTTTTTTTTGGTTACGTTTAATATACATATATCTGTTCACATGCTGTTTAATGATGTCAGCCTAATTGACAACCTTATTATTTTTGTGCCAGATAAATACTGCTCTGATTGCGTCTGATCATTATGTCTTTTGATTGATATATATTTAAAAAGATATTGCCCCCGTCAGTGTGCGAGACCAGAAATCGCCCAAGTGGGTGGATCTTTGTGAAATACACTGAATAAAATTGATGTAGAAAAAAATGTCACTCAGAAATTGCTAGTAAATTTCACAAACAATTACAAATCGGCAAGTAATGCATTGAATTAAATGTGAAATTTGGGAGTATAAAGACTGAAATATTATTTTCCTGTAAAATGTACTGTAAAAACTTGAAAAGATACATTTAAACAAAATATAAATAAACACTCAGAATAAAGTCAAAGACACACAGTGTTGGGGGTAATGTTATCAGTAATCAGATTACTTTTTCAAGTAACTAGTAAAGTAATGCAATACTTTTTAATTTACAAAAAATATCTGAGTTACTTTTTCAAATAACGCAGATACTTTGTTTTCCCATTTATTGACTTTCAGCTCTTCTGTCCCCATGGTGAGAGAAATCGGGAGTAAGTGCAGAGGCGTTGTGTGCGCTATGTAAACATGATTGTTACTGTAGTTCTAGACTAAATGTGAACATGCAGTTACTAATCTCACTTGCACACAAACACTTTCAGTATTCCTCAAAATGAATAAAACAGTGAAATGCAAACTCAGAATATACGCAAACCTGCAAAAATTAAATGTTAAAGGGGTGGTTGATTGTGATTTTACTTTTTTAACATTAGTTAGTGTGTAATGTTGCTGTTTGAGCATAAACAATTTCTGCAAAGTTACGAAGCTGAAAGTTCAATGCAAACGGAGATATCGTCTTTTAAAATTCTGGCAGTTTAATGCCTACAAAAACGGCTGGTAGGGACTACAAGAAGTTACTTCCCGGGTTCGTGACATAACAAACCCAGATAAACCCCGCCCTCGGGAAAAGGCAGCAAAGGGGGCGAGACCATGCTGCGCTGCTTTAGAGAAGAGGAAGAGAAAACTAGAGGTGCACGTAAAAATCTATTCATATATGAATCGTGATTCTGTTTTCTCACGATTCTAATGGATTATTTAATCCCATTTTATTAACCAGCTCTTTGCTGCTGACCTTCAGTGATCCTTTCCCATAAAAAGTAACAAAGTAGCACAATTAGTAACTTTTTTAAGGGAGTAACGCAATATTGTAATGCATTACTTAAAAAAAAAAAAAAACTTTTCCCAACACTGAAGACGCACTGACTTCACTAGAATGAATCAGGATATCCAGAGCTACATGGGGTTGGTTTACGACAACCTGATTCACTAGAATGAATCAAACTTTCTAAAGCTACATAAGAGAGGAGGAGGATCATTTAAGACGGGGCTGTCCAAACTCGGTGCTGGAGGGCCGATGTCCTGCAGAGTTTAGCTCCAACCCTAATTAAACACACCTGAACAAGCCAATCAAGCTCTTACTAGGCATAGAAACTTCCAGTCAGGTGTGTTGAGGCAAGTTGGAGCTAAACTCTGCAGGACACCAGCCCTCCAGGACAGAGTTTGGACAGCCCTGATTTAAGGTGAACCAGTTCACTAGAATAAATACAAATGTGACATTAATAAACACTGCTAATAGTGGCCTTTATGTGCCCTGCCCCCCTTCAGCTTCAGTGTAATTAGCTATTTTTTTTGTAGTTTGTAACTTACTACTTCTTCAAAAGTGCAGCTTGTCCTGCAGTTTATTTGCTTGAACAAATAAGTAGTTTGTAGCTTGACATGCTACATTGTCAAAGCAGCTTCCCCATCACTGGTTCTGTGTATTGTAATTGTCTTTCTGATGTCAGTATTTTCATCTTCATGTCTCTCTTCACCTCTTGTCCCTTGCCACCCTTTGAACCTGATTTCTACTTTTCATGTTCTGCATAAACCCCCCTGACCTCATAATTACTCTTCTTCTCTCTCCTGACTATTATTCTAGTGTCACTTATTCATCATGGTCACTATTGGCCAAAGGGAACAGAGAACAAGAGCAAGGGAAACAGAATAAAGAATGAGAAGAAGAGAGAAAGAAAGAAAGAAAGAAAGAAAATGAACAAATTAATGCATTTGGCGATTATCAAACTGAAACGTTTTATGGAAATTGTACATTCGAAAACACTACAGTAGTAATATTTTCTGAACCTGTTAAAGAGGCTTCCGCATTCATGGGAGAACTCCAACACAAATGCTAATTACACCATTGATGTAATAATCATGTCTAACAGTGAGACTCGTTATCAAATACAATTAATCAAAAACAAAACCCTGTCATGCCTGTCCAAAGCTCAGTGTTTACACTAACACAGCTAATTCATGGTGGGCAAATTTTGGCAAAGATCGAGACTAATTATGTCATTTAGCCTTTCGCACCGCACAGCCAGCACTCTGCATGTTTACTTTCCTTTCCACTCATCCCTGCAGACTTGCGACCTGAGAGGGTCTCGCTTCCATTATGTGGAAAACAGTGGCTTTTAAAATCGCTACTGCAGTCAAAGATGTGTGCTGGATGTTTATGCCAGTGTTGCTTAATAAAACAGGAGCACTTTTCATCTTCATCTGATGACCTGTCAAGCCAAATTGGTCCTTATAGACAGTAGAGGACTGGGAGGAGACGGTTTCCATGCGAGGCCATTAAATAATGATTATTCACTCCATCTGATCGCTGTGCATCTTGCATCCAGATTGATACTTTGTGTTTATTTAATGTGGCACAGCAACATACGCTGAACTTGTTTGATCTTTACGGTCATGGAGCATTTTTTAATGCAGGCTTGAGCATAAAAAATAGTCACTTAAAGTGAAGGATGGAGCAGAGGAGATTGAGATCTGCATTGACACCTGTCTGCAACTGCTAGAGAAAAAACAAACAAACTGTGAAACTGTGGGATTGTGGGTTGCTGTATCCAGCAATGTCCACTAGAGGCCACTGTTTTTCAGTGCAACCACAGTGGGGTAGTGTAACCCATCATCAGTAGTAAGTCAGTGCGCTTGCCTCCCTCTCAAAACATAATTACTGCAGCCAGACTTGGTTCATCCAGCCCGAGCCCCATCCAATAGACTCTTCCTGTGTGTGGTAATGAGAACAGTGCAGACGGCTCAGGAAATGAAAGTGGAGGAAAATGAGAGACAATAGTGACACAGACAGGCTGACATGGCATGTCAATTTGACCTGGGGATGAAACAGAACGCAATCATATACACATACGCAGCAGTCATACTGTGCTTGGCTTGATGCCTCTAATTCCATATTCAGATCTCATTTACACTGCAAAGGTCACACGTTCCTCATTTCTACATAATATGATGGAGGCAGTAAGTGTCTGAAACTAAACCTTCATTTCACAGTGTTTGAATCAGTTTTTTGGAACCCTGCTGAACCCTGCTGCTTTTCTCATTGGCACCTCAGAGGACGCGTCCCCTTACACCTCCTGCAGGTCATTCTCTTGAGGAAGCCTCTGTCAGAGTCTGTCATCAGCGCCAGCTGTGCCTTGGTGAAACCAGCATATAGACAGGCAGTTTTATTTGCGGCTTGTCAAGCTATATCGGGGCAAAGGTGAAAAACGTAGCAATTAGCAATTAAAAATGTGATAAAAATAATGCAATTAATCTGTGTGAAAGTATACACTGGATAGATTGACAGATTTGATTGTAAAATGGATTTCTGTGGACGTTCAGTGATATTAAACAACAAATCAATAAAAATATTTACTTTTTGTAATGTCCGTTTAACTGATTTGTCACACTAGTAGCCTAATGGATTTGAATTGCCTTCATTTGAGTGATTTTCTCTGCAATCATTGATTTATGCAATTAATTAGATATGATGTCATTAATTCAATTAAAGTTTTCAGTTGATTGACAGCTCCATCTCTGTTGTAACCACAAATTTAACAGGAGATCCTGTCGTCTCCTGACCAAAGACAAATAACCAGACAAACAGTCAAAGAGAGAAACTGTGACACTGATACATAT